GAAAACTAATGACACATTTTGTTGTTTATATAAATGTGCCAGAAATAGTAATTTTTCATTGCAAAATGTGGTCATTATGGTCGTGAATTGCGCACTGGCTAAATGAAGGCGTCCTAAACTATGGATAAACCTTCATTAGTAGCTCATTGGATGACCCTAATAGATAAATGGATTGCATTTTGCAAATTGGAACAAAGAACATTCAAAAAAAATGTTGCCAGGATTGTGCAACTTACATTCTTTGCGATAATGTTACTGAAATCATGCAAAATATAAAATTTACAGAGGTAATTTTCGCCTTGAATTTACGGTTGTTTGGTAATAAAGATAACGTGTTTAGGCTATCGGTCTATATTTGCAAGGTGAAAAGGTTGCGCGATCTTAATGCGACATTGGAATACTCTTGGTTTCTTTTTGCAAAATGCTATCCAAAGCATCTCTTGCAACAAAGCTTTTTTGTCGATCCAAGCGATGCGACAAACTTTAAATAAAGTTTCAATGATCACTTTGCTGTCCAATCGACTATAATCCTCACTCAATAACTTATACTTACTTCAGTAATAAGTACAAAAACCTGGAGCTCTTGGTAGATACAGAAAATCTGAGACACGGGCACGAGGGGGATTATCAGGATTCGTACACGTTAGAAAGGCAAGAAGACTTAGAGGGATTCTCAGGGGTTTAGGAAAAACAGGGAAGGGGGGAGGGGTGTAAAAGAATGAGCTACCTTTTGGGGTCGCGGAGAGCGTATTTAATAATTTTTTCCTGGAAAGCGTCCAATAAATTAGACAACTCCAATTTTTGTAGCGAGGTTCAAACTTCGTCGATTCATTTTGTTACAACTTTGTCAAGAGTTTGAATCGCCGGCGAAGCTTTTTATTATTTGATCCCAGATTGAAGTGAACAGGTGGATGCTCAGGGTTCGCGCGCATTACCCGCTGAGAACTTTCATCAAAAAACAAATTAAGCCCAGAACTTCGCCGTGTTGTCCATTTATATTTTTAGTTTGTGAATCGTGTTTGAGTGTCCGGGCTTGAACAAAAACTCATCTCGTGTCTCTTGTCATTCAAGCGGTTCGATATTTGTTTTTGGAGTCAAGAGGGTATACAAAGAGGTTTTGGAAGACATGAAATAGTAGAGATCGAAGCCATTGACGGAACTCGACAAAAATATCCGACGCGAAAAATTTCCCTTTCGTTGGGGGTCGTCCATAAAATACGTAACGCTTTAGAGGGANGGGGGGGGGGGGGCTGAGCCTGCGTTATAGGCGAGTTAAGGAGTCCAGGACTGCGTTACGTGACACTGCGATAAAAAAATCGATGCAAAATGGCGATTCCTCATCCGTAATTTATCACAAACTGGAAAAAAAAGTCCCTAGGATATTGAAACAAGACTCTTGAAAAATTTGACAGGAACAAATACTCGTGATTCAGTGATTCAGTCGGCTTTTTGCTTGAATCAAAAGGAAATCAGCTTAAATCAAGAGGTTTGGCTCTCGATTCAAGCAAAAATCAGACTGAATCAATAGTGTTTCTTCTTGTCAATTGTTTTAAGAGTCTCGACTCTGAATCCAAGATATTTCTTTTCCAAAGGCAATTTGCTGATAACTCACACGTGCTCGCTTCTCTCTCAATTGCAAGTTCATTTTGAACTTTTAAGATAGGTTAGACGCTTTTTGCATTAAATTTTGATGAAAAAACCTATATTATTTTGCTTTAACTCTGACTCTGTCAAGTGGTCCATTTGCAAGGATCGTCAGCCTGGGCGGAGAGGCTTCGAAATCAGTATTTTCGAATCGCATAATTACACCCTCATTAAATACCGAGGGAAAATTATATATCTACAGTAATTTCGAGGGAGAAACAAAAAACCTTCAGCTGCTTTCTCCTGACTAAAACAAAGAGGAAGAGAGGAACGCCCTGAACGAAAGGAGCAGGGATGATTTTAACCTGAAAGAAGTGCAAGTGTGACGCGTATGAAATCTTCAGATACCAATTCAGTGCTCACGCACCATACTTCCCTTTAATGCACGTTGTTTTATTAGAACCGTGAATCAAGTTTACTCCGGAATGAAGAATACCTTAGTCTTAGGAAGCCTCAGCCGTATTCTGGAAAAAAAACGTTTGAGCATTCGGACGTTGCCATATTCCTTCCGATAAAATACGAATTTTCTCGGAACTCTGCGGATTCCGCACTTTGATTTTTTTTTAAAGAATTTTTCTCTACCTTCGAGTCTGATGAATTTGAAATTTTACGAGGGAACATTCATATCCTTGCTCGGAAAGGAATTATCGTCTGGGGAACTTCGACAACGTTCGGATGTTCATACGATGTTCTTGCGAAGCACGACGGTGTAATTCAGCACTTGCTAGTTTAAGTATCTCCATTGATACCGGCTTCCACCTCTGCGCCTTTTTGTGCGTCATGGTTTCCTTCTTTTTATTGAGCAGTAGAATTCTCTTACTTTCCCCCTTTTTATCTCCTCTGCCTGCATAAAAAAGGCGAAAATGTTGAAAAGTAATAATACGGCCGTATTACCTCCCTCTCGCAACAGATACACGAACGCCTTTTTATACACTTTCAGACTGCTTTATGGGCGCATACATTTCTTTTGAAACCGACTTCGTCGGCCGGAATCGCACTCGAAGAAGATTAGCGGATGGTGTTTCCATCCGTACTTTAAAAGAAGCTAATTAAAGTTTTATTAGAAAATATGATACCTCCGCGACGAATGGATGCCTCGGATGAAAATGAAAAAAAATCACTTCTAAGTAGGGGGATGAACTGATAACGGCCAGGGTGTGACCGCTAAGTTTTATTGCAGTTATAAAACAATGTTTTGCTTCCTTTTAAAAAAATCAGTGGTCATAAAAAGTATAAGGGCTTGTTCAAAATGAGCTCTTACAATGAAATTTAGGTATCCTTTCTTAAAATTTAATGTTCCCTACCTCACTGGAAAAAAAAACACATTGGATCTAGAGTCCAGACTCTTGAAAACATTCACAAGAAAAAGTACTCCTGAGTTAATCAGATTTAAGCTCAAATCAAAAGGAAATACGCTCAAATTAAGAGGCTTGGTTCTTGATTTAAGCTTAAATCTTATTGAATCAAAAGTATTTTTCCATGTCGATGTTTTTAAGAGTCTGGACTCTAGATCCAGAGTGTTTTTTTCCGGTGCTTTTTTCTGTCTATTTAAGTATTTTGAGCATAAAAATATTGTTCACCAAACGTATACAGTGCGAAGTTTACGCCAGAGTAGCACTTGATGTTTGTGTAATGGGCATAGTTTTTCTTACCTATGGTACCTCTCAACACAAAAGAACGCATAAAGTATGTCAAATTTGTATATAAATACAGACAATAAATTGTCATGGAGAGAAATGTAAGTAAAAAGTACGTGAATATGTGATTTGCGTAACATACAGCATATCTTGGGAAAATTCTGATACGCACGAATGCACGTGTGCCTGAGTTTGAGATCAAGGTACAGAATAATTATTATACATTAGTTGATGAGGGTTAGGTTGATGTGACATTTATCACACCGTATAGCATCGTAGCCATAGTTTATTGAATGTGTGCACACCTTCGATTTCTATCTGATGTGCGCTTAAAGATCACAGGCTAAAATCCGGGCACATCTCGAAGTGCCCAAGAAATGTTAGGCAAATCCCGGACGGTATACTCATCCAAAAGATCTCGGTGTGCACTTTTCAGTGGCGAGGCGTGAATGACTGACTATCGGTTTTTCCCAATTTGACGCTGAGGTAAAGAATCGAGTATTAAGGTGTTCGTTGCGAGCTTGTTTATCGATCTTTTTCCATGCGTTTACGCATAGCGAATCAATCGATATATCGCAAAGCACGCCACGCCACTGCACCTCTATAATTCCTGAATTTCCGAGCAGTGAGTGCGACAGACCTTAGCGAGCCCTTGGATGAATTTCTGCAAATTTTGCATTCAAATAATTTTGAAGAAAAAGGAAACATTTGCTGAGTCAAAATTGCTGACAAAAAAACCAAAATCCATCCGGGAAGTCATCAACAATCTTGTATTCGTGCAAGTACACCAGTTGAAAGAACTGCTCACCTAAGAACACACGTATCACTCCCCGCATAGTCATTAATTGAATTGAGGAAGAAGGAAAAATGGGCTCAGGGGAGATTCTCAATTTTATTTTCTGTCTTTACACATTTTCCTCAATGGCTTGAACTTAAAAAATTGAGTAAGAGTAGAATTTCGATATTTCTTTGATTCAAAAAGCGACAAAACACAGCGTTCATGACGAAAAAGACTGGGCGAATTCCTGAATCTTGTGCGAAATTTCGATGTCAGTGCAGCTCCTCGCACAAATCATCAGACATTGAAAAATGCTTGCTAAACCGTTCTGACCATTCGGCAAGTATCAACAACTTCAGTATTCTCCTTTTCATAAATGAGACAAAATTTTCCCGAAAAATTGCAGGTAAAAGCACAATCCTGTTGATCAACATTCAATTTTTCAAACATCAAAATCATTTCACGCTCTGCCTCGTTGATTTGTTAAGTACTTTTGGTTTATTTTCGGAGGTAAAGAATTATTCGAAAGCTTTAACTGGAAATTACTCATATGTAAACAAACTTATTTCTTTTTCTCGACAGAGAAAATGCCTGAAAGATTGTTTTCGTCGGTTCTTGAAAAAGGAAGGGAAGATAGGCTTAAATTTTAAAAACCGATGTTTCACTTTTTTTCTAGTTCATAATACTTCATGTCAATAAACCGATTGATGCATTGGTCGGTTTGTTTTTTCGCAAAATAATGTCTCACGTAAAACACAGACATGGAAAAGATAATTAGGTGATAGGGCATGTGTTTAAGCCCACTTTACTGTAAATATGTTTCGTCAAAAACGAAAATTACACGGCTGAATTTTCACGAACGAATCACCTCACACAGAAGAAAATTTCTGAAATAGAGATAACAAAAATTGGTGTCAGGTGTGAGAGAGAGGGGGGCATACCTCTCAAATTTCCCAAGATTCCAAAACGGCCGACCGCCTCACGTCCAGGCGTCGAAATCCACTGAAAAAACCACTCAACTTAAATAACTTGAGCGAACGAGGATCGCACTCCGCACAAGTATCCAGAATCCACCGCACTGATAACAGTACCGTCACTCGAAACCGCGATCTCGGATCAAGGACCAAGAAGATCCAGGAACGTCCGACACTCGACTACCCCGATGACCCCTAGCGGCGCGGACCGATCACTCTCGCGCGGGAAGATCAACTGGTCCTCGGGTGGCCCGGCGGATCGCATCGCGGATGCTGCACGCGACCGGGGCGCCGCCGAGCGGAAGTCGCCGGAACCTGCCCACCCCAACCCCGTCGCGGGATATCGACCCGCCCCGCCGCGTTGCCCCATAACCTCTTAAAATCCGAGAAACACCCTCCTGCGCCCAACGCGAATCGTGATTACGGCAACGGCGCGACGGAACTTTCGGGCAGGTGAAATAATGCTCCCCGCTCGGATGCCGGGTAAGAATACAAGCTTCTTTATCAATTCACCGGTCCAATTTGCTAATGGCCGTAACAATGCCCGGCTTGAGGAGAGGTCCGACACTCTCTCCCCGCAATTTCGCTTCCCCCCTCCCCCACCCGCGCCGCGTCGTGCGAGGCAATGAATTTTAAAGTGATTACGCTATCAATAAGCAAAGCTCTAATTTCCTGGCGCTTAGGGGATCCATCTCCGCTCGGGTCGCACACTGGACCGTTTGAGATTCTGTTGTCGTTTTAAAAATTAACTCGGATCGCGGGACGCCGATATGGACTTCGTTGATAACTCCTCCAGGTATGAATAAGAGAAGCTTTCATCGGGCCGTTCCACAGTGTGTCAAAACCCCAATCTAGCTGCTCGAAACCTCTTCACGTCTCTTTTGTTATTCGGGTAACCACAAAAGTTTGCACAGGCATTAGTGTAAGCTCGAAGAGGGTTCACCTAAAATTTCAAAACTTAGTCATCAAAAGTTTCAAAATGGCGGCCACCTAAAAATCCTGTTCATCTCATGTAAAAATCTTGAAAATTTCAACTAATTTTTAGGCGCCATATGTGACCTGATAAACACCAATAATTAGTTAAATTTTGTTTATCGATCCAAAATACGTCTTGGGGGACGTCTTGGGCTTATGCATTCCACTTCAAAATGGTCGATTTCTCATTTGGCCTTTCAAAGAAATATGAATTTTCAATCGGATTTTTGCTTTCATCCAGAACCAGGCCTCTTCATTCGAGCGGATTTCATTTTGATTTAAGCAAAAATCCGATTGAGGCAAGAGTATTTTTTCTTGTTAGTGTTTTCAAGTGTCTGGACTCTAGATCCAAGCGACTTTTTTTTCATTGTTGAATTAGAAAGAACATAACAATAGTTAACTTTTTGCGATGACCGGAGTAGGTTCCCATGAATAACAGTTTCAAAATAACGGCCGTCATGATGGCGGGAAATTGGTATCTTGCAAGATGTTGACTACATTGCGCGTTCTCCTCATATTTTCTTGATTTTTCATAAAATTTAAATACATTTTCCTGAATTTGGCTACGAATGAATAGACACTAGTTTGACTTCACAAACCGACATTTATGGTGAACTGAATAAATAGTTTCACTTTTGAACGTGCTCAACTGCATATGGTTAAAAATGCTTGCGTGACAGACTTAGAATTTTCTGATCCATGATATCCCGACATTTTCCGGTTTTTACTGACGGTAGAGCCCCGCAATACTCATCTTAATTGAATCAGTAAGTTCGAAAACACACAAACTCGGGTTTTTTTTTCGATTTTCACTTTTTTACGGTTTAGTAAAACTAATAGATACGAGTAGAAGCATCTGTACGCAAAAGGAAATTTTGAACTTGCAATCAGAAAAGCTCGAAACAGCGACGGGAAAAGGGAAAAATCGAGGCATTTCATTGGAAATACCAATTTTTGGCCATTTCAAGGGGAACGGGTGACCATCCGATCTTGCGGTTTTCTTGTTTCGGTTCAATATACCTTGTACCAACAAGTTATATAAATATTCAAGCGTTATTCAGGTCAAAACATGTAAATTTTTCAGGGCAGACTATGAAAAATCAGTATCTGAAAGTTTGTGAGAACGAAAACACACCAACTCGGACATTTTTAAAAGCTTAATTCTCTGTCATCAAACATGATGTATCTATTTCAACTTGGTGCTTTACAAAGTCTCCAAGTACTTGTCCTTTGGCACCAAAAAGCTTTTTCTTAAACTAACTTCTTCGCCCGCTGCGCAGTTTTAGGTGTTTCCTGAACAATTTTTTTTTCCGAGTTGGTGTGTTTTCGAACTCACTGATTCAATTAAGAACGATTCAAAAACTCGGACAGAGTTTTATTGTTTCCAGAAAAAAAGAAAAGAACAGATGCAAAACGAATGGAAATATCGCGTCGATATTCTCCGTGATTTAATTGAAAACCATCGAGAAAATCCCAGGAAACTTTTCAGAAAACCTGTGAGTAGCTTTTCAAAAAGATGTCTTTAGAAATTAAACAGAAGTAAAGATGTGCAACGTTGCAATCGGAGATAAATACGCTTTATTTTTCGCGTGAGCGGTAAATATTCGAATTCATTCACGGCTGGTGCAACGAGATAACTATTCGACCACGGGTGTACCCATGTTGCCGCTAGCCGGATTGAAGGCGCGTCACACTGCGCAGATGATTCGACCGCGTTTCCTTTGCTTTCTTAACTTCCTTTCTTTCCTGGCCGGCGCGACACTAAAATCGCCGCAAAATTGAGACTCCGCTACGCCTCGTCGTTCTTGACTTTCTGCCCCGTTTTTACAAAAATTGAAAGCAAATTATGTATCTTGATCGCAACCATTCAGAAACTCAGATTGTATTTTATTTTTTCAGTTAAAAAAAGAAAAGAAAAGAAAAAAGAAGAAGAAACGAATGAAAATTTTGTATCGAAATATTCTGTGATTTTGTTTGAAATCGTTTAGGTATATTCCTGGAAGCTTTTCAGACGCCAGTGTTTAGCTTTTAAAAGAAACGAATTTATAATCGAACATGAGAGGCGGTGTACACCGTTACAATCTGAGATAATTACGGTCACTATTTTTGCCTATCAGCCCCGTTGACGTTTTAATTATACTTTAAGAAAAAATATACATCTGAAACTTAGACCGTGTTTAATTTCTTTTAGTTTAAAAGGAAATGATATGAGAAAAATTTTACGGGATGTCGACTATTTCATTGCAAATTTTTTTATGTATGCCTTATTTTTCTTGGAATTTTAAATACAATTTTCTAGATTAAGATCGCGAGTAAATTGACACTCGTTAGACCTCACGGACCAAAATCTTTGGTGCATGGAATCAAATGTTTTACTTTTGCGTATGCTACACTGCATGTGGGTTAAATTCGGAGTTTCCTGATCCGTGACCGATTTTCGTGATATTTTCCTGATGACATCAAAATTCCGGGTGTTTTCAGTTTTTTTTTTTTTTCTGACAGGAGACACAGTAATCTTGGTTGTTAACCGGCCGACTTGGATCAAACTTGTGTTAAGGGCTTTTTGGCACGAAGAGAAGGAATCTGATATCGGAATGCAAAAGTATTGCACTATTTTCAATATGGCAGCCGTAACAAGGCGGGAAGTTATCATCTCGGTTTCTTAAAAGAGCGAATCTAACGACAAAATGCAAAAATATTGCACTATTTTCAAGATGAGGCACTTTCCGCCATTTTGATGGCTGTCAGGTTAAAAATAGCACAATATTTTAGCATTTTAATGTCATATTCTTCCTTTTCGTGCCTAAAAACCTGGGGACACCAAGTGCTATCCAAGTCGGCCGGTTAACGACCAAGGTATCAATTTCTCGTTATCATGAACTTAAACTGGTCGTCATTATTAAACGGTAATACATGGCAACCTGCGATTAGCCCCCCCCCCCCCCACACACACACACACACACACCCACACACACACACACACACACACACACACACACACACACACACACACAAGAATAACTAGGTAGACGTACGTGAAAGATGTAAAAACTTGTACCCAATACCTGGAATAATCACTGCAAACTGCGCTTCGATATCTCGATCGAGTAACATGTCACAGTCGAATATAGACATTAAAATACCTTCAGAAATGAGTGACAATCGGGGCCTTCGTCCCCTCCCCCCAATATCACAAAAACGGTTCGTATATTCAATCTTAAATTTCAGTGCATTTATAGGCAGTATGGGGTTATCCAAAGGATGAAAACAAACTCAGAGGGGCCCAAAATCGGGCAATTTTGTGCAGGACTCTTCGTGTTCTTTTTCAAACATATTTTCGCGCGTACGAAAATGTTCGAAATATCGGTCCAAGAATGTTAAAAACGGGCAATAAATAATGTAGCCGATGCAAGCAGTCGGAAAATCGTGAAATTGAAAATCAGACATGGAAAGTCATGTCGTTATCTCTAGCAACGTGCCTCGGATGACCAGTCACAGGGTGGAATTTTTGAGTTATTTTCCTAAGCATATTTCCACATAGATGGAAATCGCACAGCGATTTAGTGAAAACGCAAAATACGTCACATCGTGTGTATCACCAAAATTTTGCGGTAAATACGCGTCTGTTCAGCGGTTTTTGAAAAGGAGTGAGAAGTTACGCGCTTTTCACCTGAATATAGCGGCATTTACGTACGTCATTAAATTGAGACGAAAGAAAAACTATGATTTTCCTTCATTTCCGCGTGATAAAGCAATCCTACTCCGGATTTTGAATATTGGCGCTTAATGTCTGTAATGACCAGTGTTGTCAATAAACAACTCAAGTTATCCGAAACAGTAAAAAAGTGCGGGGTTTTTTAAAACGGTGAGAGGTTACGTGTTTTACATCTCAATATCGCGAAAAATAAAGAGATTTTCCCAGCAATTTTGGATTACCTGAAAAATTACGCGTCTCTCCTCTGGGTAGCGGCAAATACGCAATTTAACCAACGGTATTTTATACAGGAGTGAAGAGCTACGCGTTTTTCATCTGAATATGGCGCAAAATACACGCTCGTTACAGCGGTTTTGTAAAATCATAAAAGCTATTATCTCATCTTAATATCGCGGCAAATACGCAATTTTGCCCAGCGGTTTAACCAAAACACAAAAGAGTACGTGTTTATAATCTGAGTATCACGGCATTCTAGGCGTCCGTAATCTAATACCGGCAAAAGCCAAGATCTGCCTTCATTTTCGCGTG